CTGCCGGAATGGTAGCCAGGAGGGGATAGATGCACTGGCTCGCAGGGGCTGGTTGGGCTGGCAGGAGTCCAGGGCCTTAGGTCCTGCAGGGAGGCTCTTCGTCCCTTATTACGTCCGGGGACTGAGTCGCAGTGCTTGGGCCAGTCGCAGGTTGCTTTGGGGAACCAGGAGAGGACAGGAGTGTGGGTAGCACCTCTCACCGCCAGCATACACATAAACCTTCGCCCCTCAAGACTTGTGAACTGTGAGCTTCCCAGATGGCTGAGATAAAGAGAGATCCCTCCACCCTACCCAGTTACCAGACTTTAGTGACTCTGATATTAATTCAGTGCTCTGGGAAGTAACGCCGGACAGATAGTAAATTCAGCAGCAGAGCGGCTCGCTCAGCGCAGGTCATCTCTAAGCGCCAAGCACAATTCAGTTTTCTCGCTGCTTGAAATTTGTGGCCTTGCCAGGGTTTGGACTCCAGGGAGAGAGTTCGAAATCGCTGCACTCCTCTCCTTTAGGTTACTGGCTCTGGCCCACTACTCTTAGCCACCGGAAAAAGCAATCCACTAAACTTTAAATGCTGCACCACCTTGCCTTGACACACCCGACCTATTTCTCTTCATCTGCCTCTTATTTTCCATCTCCTGGCTGAACCCAACGCTCCAGGCCAGATATTGAAGTTGCAGAAGAAAAAAAATTACAACACGGATCACAGCATCACTGCTTCCTTTGTCTGAGCTAGGTTTTTGTTGTGGGTGCTCACCTTGGTGAAAGAGATCAGTCTCAAGCAGTCCACCAACTCATGTGCCCAGAGATTAGTAGAGTCACCTTCCTGTCCCAACAGGTGGACATGCAGGAAACTGTTAATGGCCCAAGATGCTAACTTTCCAGGAATAACACTGGACAGCCTTACACTGAAAATGTGCTTCCGGTGCCCCAGGGAGCTCGTGGTTGTTACTGCTAAAAGTTGTGGTTACACACTACTGGCTATTTAAGGAACTCTGTTCAAGAACTGGTGTTATTTCTCTAGGAAATAAGTCTGAAGCAGCAGTTTAATTTATGTGTATGTGTGTGGTGAATATTTACTCAAGATAGAGACAGAGATAAAAAACTAAATATTAACTTTTTAAAGACATCAGCAAATAGCAGATTTCTGCTTCTAGAGCTCATTCCAATTAAAGGACGGCTGCCTAACTATCCTAAGTGAATATTATAAAGAAGTGGCAGTGTAGACCTAGTTTGCAGATGATTCATTTCTTCCAGTGAGCATAATTGCTTCCATTTGTGATACTAACATTAGGTAGAAGGCTGGGGGCTGATTCAACTGCCTTACCCATTTCATTTAGGCAAGACAGTTTGGTTTAATATCTGAAACCTACAGCAGCATGAAACAGCACATTTTCTCCACTTTATTGCATAGATTCTTTATCAGGGCTTTAAAACACTAAAAACTTTAATCCCACTTCCCATAAAATCAGTTACTAACCTCCCAAAGAAAGGTAGGAAAAGATAATAATTATGTTTAGCAAGGTGAATTGAACAAGAATGTGGATCTGAGGTCAAATAGCCATTTGGCCAACTGACCAAGTTATCAAGGATCTAGACACAAGCTCTTTTATCTTTAGAGCGACTCGATAAATATCAGTGGCATTAAATCAATCAGCTCATTCATTCAACAAACATACAGAGCAAGTATTTTGTTCTAGGTAGGCTGTTAAGGCAGGGAGAATTGCAAGAGGAGCACTCAGTTAGTCCTTAGAGATTCACAGGTTGGGGGAGGCAACATGATGTAGCTAATGCAATGGGGAAGTCTTCCAGCAGGAGAAGGGGGAGTCCAGGGGGGTCATTAAATCAGTTTTACTGGAGGAGCAGAGAGAAAACCATTTTCAAAATTGTATTCATTGCAAAAGTTACATGTTCATTGTAGTATATGTGTGTTATTTATTGCATGTTCATTGTAGTTTATTTCAAACTATAATGTAGTATGTTTACTACATGTTCATTGTAGTATATTACCTTTTATTGCAAAAGTTACACATTCGTTGTAGTATGTAGGAGGAAAACAAATTTTATAACTAATCAGCAGAGTTTAAGGCCCTGGGGTTGATCCCCAGCACTAAACATCAAATAACAAATTTCCCATTTTTAAAATAATAAAGTTGGGATATCATCCAAGTGTCCAAAATTTGCTATTTCAAAAAGCATATTGTGGTGATCAGCTTTCAAAACAGTATGTAATGATCTATTGCTTCCTCATGGTCACATCCTTATCAACTTATCCCACACTGAACTAATATGGTCTTCATGAGCAGCAGAAGATGGTGAAGGTAGGGGCAGGTCACTGCTGAGGTCTGCTTATAAAAGATGGAAGCTTTTGTCTTGGATTTTTTTCTCTTCCATCAATAGTCTGGGGGAAATCAAATGCCATGCCGCAGGAACACTCAGACAGCATGCCCAGTACTTGAGACTTGCTGACAACCATGTGAATGACCTGGGAAGCTGATCCTAACATGGAGGTGACAATTAAACTAAATGTCAGGAGAAAATCTGAGTCAGGACAACTCAGCCAAGCTACTGCTGGATTCCTGACCTATAGAAACTATGAGATCATAAAAGTCAGTTGTTTTACACAAAGTTTGGAGGAGACATGTTACATAGAAATAGAGAACTGATACATTTGACCAATTTTTCCATATCAGGAATCACTTTCTCTTTTAAATGACTGTTCTGTAGCATCATCTTTCTCCTGTAGACAGGCATTAAGGATTTACCAACTACAGTGTAATCCATGCCCTTGACTCTGTATTCCAAAACATACTTCCAGTATTTCAAGACCTTGTAAGTGGAACTGCTGGGTCAGAAGGTAACTTACATTCTTGATTTGTTTCCAGATTACCTACCAAAAAGTGTGCAACACTGCTCTCATATTAAACAATATTGGACATTATTATTTTAAGTGTTTGCTAAACTGACATGCAAAAAACAGGGAGTTAATTTACTTTTCTTTGCCATCATTAAGCAGAATCTACCCAAACCTTTTTGAAGTATATTAAACATTTGCCTTTCTACATCAGGGAAATGTCTACTGATATTCTTTGTCACTTTTGTGTGTTTGGTTGTCATAGTGATTTTGAGTCTTTATAAAGTCTGGATATTAACCATTTGTTATATGTTGTTAATATATTTTTCCTTATATCCTCCCACTCTTTAACTCTGCTATTTTCACAGTCAGCTTTTCTCTTTAGCCATTTCACATACTGTAATTTTTAAATGGTGGGTAAGAATTTTCCAAGCCAACACTGGGCACTTAAGGCACACAGAAGAAGCTGGACAACATAGAGAAGAAAACCTATGTGGTTTGCATGGGGAATCTGTGTGTTGCTCATGAAGAGAATGAGCACTGCAGAGAGGCAGGACTAGCCCAGTGGACCTGGCTGCCTGGTTAGTGAGCCTCAACTTCTTCCGGCAGGCAATCCTGCAAGCAAAGGAAGGTTTCACACTGAAACCAGGATAATCAGATTGCAGTTTAGATCAGTCTCCGACAGCTGTGTTGCGCAGGATGGTTCTCAGGGCACAGAACTGGAAACAGATAAACCATTTAAGTAGCTGCAGTTTTCCAGAGAAAAGCTAATGATGGCTTGAACTAACTGTGGCAGCAGTTAGCTTAAAGGGTCAAGACAAAAATGGAGAACTATTTAGAGTAAAAAGGATACGACTCTCAGGTTGTGGGGAACGGAGAAGTGGGGCACAGGGAAGGAGTGAAATGGTGTGCTGGTCTTTAGGTCGGCCTAAATGTATATTCAGCTTGACTCCACAGTATTAAGTGAGAAGCTGTGTAGGGGAAAGGACTGGTTTAGCAAGGCACATTTGGATGGAACAAAATAAAACATTGTGGGAGATCTAGGTGAAGGCAGGAGACATTCAGTAGTCAATGTTGAGTATGTCTGTGTAAAACTTAAATGGGTTAGCACATCCAAGGAGAGGCCAGTTAAGTAAGAAATTAGTAAGAGCACAGTTTTGGAAGAGCTCAGCCAAGAAATACCAAAGGCAGAAAGGACAGCTGGCTCTCAGCCTGGATCTTCCAGGGGCCAACAGACTGCATAGGACCACTCAGACTCAGGCTCAGAGTTTGAGGTCTTCAGACTTCAGAAGCTAATTTTTGTCCGTTCACCCAGGAATGATCGGGATCTAGTCACCAGAGAGTTCTGTATCTCCAGCCAGTTTGTGTTATTCCTAAGGAGGCCACATGGCAGCAGCAAGGGCTTAGATTCAGTGGCTGCAGACTTCAAATGCAGTCTCATTACTTCTTGGCTCCTTCGCCTTCTCAGAATCTTGGCTTTCTTGTCTGGACAACAAGCAGGGCTGCCTTCCAGGGAGGCTGGAAAGATTAAAAGAATGACACATGCAAGGCATCTCAGAGAACGCCCAGACCACAGATGGGAGGCTGGGAGCTTCCTTTCCCTTCATCCACTCGAGTGCTGGCCCATCACTGCAGATAGATGAAGCTCTGGAGCAAACATGAGATTGATGCTGACTTTGGTGCATGAAGGAATGACTGACTGTCCAGAAGTGGCTGAGCTTGTGCGCTACCAAGAATTTAAAAATCATGCACATTCTTTTTCAGGAGCGAATCCACCCTGCCCCTCACTTTCCATTACTGGCTCCAGGGAAGAATCTGAGGAAGTAAGTGTCCAGTCACACTCTTTCATCCTAACAGGTTCCCCAAACCTGAGTTACGGATTATGAAGTTAGGGATCTAAACACCTAACTCCCTAAAAGAGGAGGAAATGACTCAAAGGAGATGTTAGTTTTTAAATCAATAATTTTGTTTCAAAAGATATATAGTAAATTGTTTTATTAGTATAACTTCTTATATTCTAAAGGGAAAGGAAGTTTATTGTAAATATGATTTGGGTTAGATAATTTTTCAAGATCCATATAACTTCTGCTGCCTTGTTTTGATATTTTAGGTTGTCTTAATCTTTTATGGAACAAATAAACAAATACATAAATAAGACAATAGCAATAGGTTTTTATTTTTTTGCTTTGATCACTTAAAATACATTTTGTTAAAAATTCTTAAAACAAGAATTAGAATCTGTTATTTATAATACACTTTAATATTGTATAAAACATTACAGAAAGTAATTTGTCTTTTGTTTTCCCCCAGTTCCAGGGATTGAACTCATGAATTCTTGCTTGCCAGGCAGGAATTTATACTGCTGAACTATATTTCTCAGGCCCAGTAATTTGTTTTAACAATGTCCTTTTAAACTACTTTCCCCCCAGTTTTAGTACCTACAACTTTTTCAAAGAGATTGAGGGAGGTAGCAAGAAGGGTTTATAGCATTATTTAGGGATCATTTCAAGGATGTTCTTAAAAGCCTCAATAGGATTTCTGACTTTTTGCTTGGTGGACAGATTAAAAAGGGTTTGATAGTAGATAAATGGGAAAGGAGAGATAGTCAGGTGTAAATATCTAAAAGAGTTGAATAAATGTTAAAAAATAGCAGGAAGCTCTTACTTCACAGCTTCTATGTTCTTAGAGCATAGTAGCAGTTCTGGAGAGAATTTCATTCAGCTATATGTTGGGCACATAGTAGATGTTCAAAAAATAGCTTCTGAATAAAGCAAATCTATCTTAGGGCCCAAATGTAAACCACAGCTACATCCACATCACCCATAATACTATATTCATATATATTTAAAATGCAATCTTATTAGGGATGTCACAAAATAATATATGTTCAAGATGTAGTTTATTTTGATTTTCATCAAAAGTAGTAGCTACATTTTACATAAAAAAAGACAAGGATGAAACATGACTCCCCATAGTCTACTGATCTCTCCTATTTTAATCCATGTTATAATACAGAGATTACATTTTAATAGGTAATACAACAAAATACCAATTATGTCTTAGGATTTTAAAATATATGGCTTATATACCAGGCTTTCAGAATGACCCAAAGTCTTTATTATTAGCTGCCTCAAAACTGATTCCAAGGTGAATCTGAAGAATTCGAAATCTGACTGGCATATAAAAGCATAATGTCTATGTTTTTGATAGGTACTTTATTTGCTGGCAAGTAATTCTTCAGCCAACATCCTTGTTTCTGACCGTAGCAGTATGTATCAAGCAGGAATAACAGTAAGACAAGCAGGGTCATATATCTTTATTGTTTCATCCCAAGAACAGTCAGCCACCTGCAAAGCCAAAACAAAATAAGAAACACATTTAGGTGCACAAAAAATTCAAAGCTGGCAGAAAAAAAACAGTTATTTTCCATGTACATCACCATTTTATGTGGGAAAAACCAGGAGTAACTTTTGGAAAAATGGCCCATTTTCTCTTTCAAGATACACTTTGGGGATTGTGTCCAATGAATTAAAGTGGCCTACAAGGATTTCCTCCCCAATGGAATGTAATTCCCCATCTCTTGAGCTAGATGATGAAAAGATGCACCCCTAGACTGTAAACTAAGACTTTTTATTCATGGATAATTTAAAATTGTTGTGGTAGAAAAGTAGGGAGAGAGAAATATAGCATCTTGAGTACAGTATGTGTTATGGCTTATGTTTAGGTATCCTCTCAAAATCTTGTGCAGCCAAGGGGCGGAGCTTTTCAGAGGTAGCTGGATCTAGAGTGTATGATGTTGGCATCAAGGTGTTTGATTGGTTTGGCATAGTTCTGTCTAGGATTTAGGGGATGAGTACTATACTTGTCCTAAGGTGGGGGACTTGTATAAAATGTAAAAGACAAAAGAGGGCTATGTGCTCATATCTGCCTGCACGCTAAGCAGTATTTCTTCTCTGCAATGCCTTTCTGCCATGCTACCCTGTCTTGGAGCCAGCCAATTTATGGACTGAAACCTATACAAACTGTGAAACAATGGGGCTGGGGATTTAGCTCAGCGGTATAAGCACCTGCCTTGCAAGGGTGCGGTCGTGAGTTCGATTCCTGGTACCAATTAAAAAAAACTATGAAACAAATAAATCTTTCCTCTTTCAATTCTGGGTGTTAAGTATTTTGTCTCAGCAATGAATAAAACAACTAAAATGGAACTGGCACCACAGGTAGGGTTATTGCTGTGACTATCTCTCACCATGTGGTTCAGGAGCCTTTGGGACTGGCTTGAAGGAAGATTTTGGAAAGGTTCAGAGATGCCACTGAAAAAGCAGCCCTGAAAAGTGTTAGGCTGTACTTGACAGGAGATTCTGGGAAGTGTTCAGACTAGAATGCTGACAGAAATGATGCTGATAAAGCCCAGTCTCAGGAGGTTTCTGCTGGGAGATCGGATATTGCACTCCAAAACATGTGTGTTATGGTGTGGCAGAAAGTTTGTTTGCATTTTACTCATGTCCAGAGACTCTGCCCAAGGTAGTGATTAAGAATGGTGGCTTAATTAATCTTGCAGAAAAATTTCAACACAGTCTAATATTGAAGTGGTGGCATGAATACAGCGGAGGGCTTTTTAGATTTATGTTGAGTATCAACAGCAAAAAGCCCAGCATAATGATTTAAATATTTTGCGTCTGGCCAGAAAAAAAGCTTCAGTAAAGTTGTGGTCTGCAAAGATGGAAGAAAGGAGAAACTGGTCACTGAAAAGACTAGCAAGAAAAAGCCAAGTATTTCAGAAGAAAACAACAGGAAAGATGGCCTGATAATATCACAAGTACCATCAGAACTCTATCCTTTGCACCCTCAGAGTTGCAAATGAGAAAGACTGCTTCAACAAAAGAATCCCAGAGCACCATTTTTCAGAATGTTGGTGGTTGTTGCTTGGGATTTGGTTCATTGGCACTTGACCTGAAAAACTGAGAGAAAAGGAAGCCTGGCTACTGCTTCAACTGGTGTCATCATGTGTTTCTGGTTTTAGGTGGATGTAGAATGCAGGAGTTATAGGGTGAGGAAGGCTTCCACCCATTTCAGAAGAAGATCTGGAATGTGAGGCAGGTTGCCCCTGAAAGGGCAGTGTGTGAAACTGTGAGTATGAAGCTGAAGGTGCAGTGGAAACCTGAGGAGTTTGGAGAAGCCAGGAATGTGGGTCATGTGAGGATTGCTGCAAGGAGGGAGCAAAGCCAGCCCAAGAGAGAAGCCATTGAAGCTACAACCACTGGAAGTGCTGTGAGTTACCCAGGCCCTTTAGAGTTCATGTGTTGCCACAGATTACCTCAGATGCTAGACATGGAACTTATGGGACTTAATATTTGCCTTTTTGGAGTGTGAACTTGTTTTGGGTCCATTTTGTTGTATCCTCCATTTGTATCTTTTGGAATGGTAATGTTTATTTTGTGCCATTGAATATTGGAAGTGTTTAACTTTCTTTTCATTTGTCTAAGGGCTTGTGAGTAAGAGTTTGCCTTAAATCTCAAAGGAAACCTTGGACTTGGAGTTTTCAGCAATGCTGAAAATGTGAGGACGTTGACAACTACTGAAGATGGACTCAGTGCCTTTTGCTTAAAGATATGTGTCTTTGTGGGGGCCTTTGTGTCCCCCCAAAGCCTCACACAGTCATGAAGGTGCTTTACAGAGACAGTTGGATCTAGAATATATGGTGCTGGCATCAAGGACATTTCATTACTAAATCAGTCCACTGATTGGTTTGGCATAGTTTTGGCTAGGATTAAAGGAATGAGTACTACCTCTACCCTGGTGTGGATACCTGCATAAAACATAAAGGAACAAAGAGGGCTAATGTACTCTCATTTACCTGCTTACTGAGAACTATTTCTCCTCTGTGATGCCCCTCCATCAGGTCACCCTGTCTTAGAGTCAGCCACCTATTGACTGAAACCTACAAACTGTAAGCTAAATAAACCTTTTGTCCTTCAACTCTGGGTGTCAGGTATTTTGTCTTAGCAACAATAACAAAAAAAAAAAAATAACTAAGAGAGTAGCTAAAAAGATCTGAATAAATGTCAGAAAATGTAAGTTGTGTATTTGAGGTTTGGAAGGAAGATAAATTGCAGCTCTTGCCTTCACAAAATGGCTCATCCTAGACCAAGTATGGAAAGCCCTCTAGAGACTCTCAGAGAAGGGACATGAGATTTTCACAGACTGTGGACTCCCATGGGAGTGGCTGAGCTGGAATCAGCGCTTACACACGTTGCTGACTCCATTAGAAATGGTCTCTTGTAAAAGGCAAACTGTCCATCACTATTTGCCTAACCCTGAGACACAGTGCTATTATGTTAATTTACCCCTGATTTACGCACATGTGTTTTCAAGTGTTGAGTGTTTCAGAATGTAAAGTATGAAGAAAAGAATCAGAGAAGACAGGCCTCTCACACAAAGTATCTATAAATTATGTTTCTAAATTCCTATTAAACCCTCTTTAATCCATTTTCTTATTTACTCAGGACATATAATAACTAACAAATGTCAAGGCCACTGAGTCAGCAAACATTCATAAATCAATACTTAATAATATATGAAAGCTCTAAAACCATATTGATACATAGAATGATAAATTGATTCAAATTAATGCAAATAATGGCATTTCTCCATTAGTTAATTAAATTCTAACCTAGTTCTACAAATTCAAATAAGCAAAATGATTTTTTAAAAATGTACTTTACTAAACTAAAAAATGAGACTCCAGATTCTTTTCAGGCTGGCACTGTAAAGACTTCCTGGTTAGGGAAACAAAACCGTACCATCTGATCCCTGGGGGTCGCATCTGATTAATTACCACCAGCACCCACAGGCCTCTAGCAGCACTAATGCCCTTTAATTCTAGGCCTGCATGTCAATACAGGGCCCTCTTATATGTCCCACAGTACCTATCAATGGTCTGCCTCAAAGACATTTTAAAAAGACTGTGTTAAAAATAAGACCTGATAGATAAACATTAAAAAGACTTTACTAAGATAAAAAGTATTAGCCAAAGGCATGCGCATAAATAGTGTGCTTCTCAGGATGAGATCCACTCAGCCTGCAGGTCAAAGAGGAACTTTTCCTAGCTCCCACCCTGTTTCCTCAAACCTCCAAGAATGCATCCAGATCAGGCAACTCCTTCAAGGACAAACTTGGATTAACAAAATGAGAAAGGCAGTAAAATATCTCCTTTTTCATCCATTAAACAATCTTTGATCTCAGTTTCAGTCCCGTGGATGAGGCCTTACCTCTTTGACCATTAATTTGTTGTGAGAAAAAACTGAAAGATCAAGACCAGCAAAATATTATTTGGTGTCGTTTCAGTGGAATAATGATAATTATTACCATCATTAGCCGTTCTGGGTTACCTGATTTTATGGCCTGTATCTTTTACTTTCCCTGACTAGACCATTTTATGATTTTTGTAAATTATAGAAAACTGTTCAAAATATAAATTATTCTAATCCATAATGATGGTAATGAATGTTGTGCTTTGGAAATACTGCTGACAGCCAAGAGCTGAATTCAAACCTCACATTTTATTGCCCTGTGGATCTTCACCAGTTTTTCTCCTATTACTAACTTTATTTTAGCATTTAGTAGATGCCTATATGTGTCTGACCTTTGATTTCTTTGACTGAGCTGTATATAAGCATTACATATATAAGTTCAATAAAACCGTTGATGCATGCTCATATTATACTGCTCTGACAGTCATAATCACCACTTTGAAAAATTATCCTTTAACATGGTCACATACAAGGATATAGCTTTATATGCCTCAACATGTTAACTATTATTTCTATGGGACATAACAATTCTTGTTTCATATAGGATATAATACAGTAAATTAATAAGCTATTTCATGTAAGATATATTATGGATCGGAGAGAAGGGGTAGAAAGTTATGCTAGAAATGACACTGAGAATAATATCTAAAATTGGGCATGAAATTAAAGGCAAATGATAGCATAAAACAGATACCATGATCAATTTTCCAGTTTTAACAGTTTTTCCTAGTACTTAGACTAAAAGAGAAAACATTCAATGCCAAAGAGTGACTTTACAAAAGATACAATGTCTTTCTTCATTTGTTTATTTAAAAACAGTTTTATTCCTCAAATAGGTCAAAAGCACTCTACTAAACTGGTTTCCTAGAAGTATTTCCATTAGGCAGTATCTTTCAATTTCTTTTTTTACATTTATTTTTATTTTGGTAGTGGGAACTGAACTCAGGACCTTACTGTACTGCTGAGCTATATCCCCAGCCCCAGTTCTCAAATTTTAATGTACACCAGAATCACCTGGAGGTGACAGATGACTGGTC